GCGTAGTCGCCTTTTTTGAAAACGTGAACGTGAAGCGCTAGCGTACGAGCGGTACGAGAGAGATCGCCGGTCCCAACTCCCACGCAAAAGGTCGGCGTGGCCGCTCTCACGCTTCTCTTTGATTGCGTATTATGAGTTATCCCATGGCCCCCATGGCAAAAGAATAACCATGGTGTTACCCGTTGAAAATATTCGTGGCTACGTAATTCAATGTGTATGTCTTAAACATAGAGGCGCTAGTGGACGTATTTTTCAATATGTCTTCTGTTAGACCAGAGGTTAGGATTGCTTGGACTTCTCTTTGACCGTTTTGTACATAAATTATTGAAGAAAAAAACGTATAATTAACGAATAAGTATTATCCATTGGTTTCACAAATTTTGTGTTTTCTCAGTGCAGTCACTGTATGTCAATGCGTTTTTCAAAGCATTAGAATCAATATATCTGAGTGTATACAAGTTTTGATACACTGCAATTTGTTATTTGCATTTGTTATATATACAAACTAACACAATATTGTACTCAATTAATCAAATAATACAGCAAGATGTCTGAAGACGAAGTGGAAAGCTTTGAAATTACCGATTATGATTTGGAGAATGAATTTAATGTCGCTCGTCCCCGACGCAAACTCTCGAAGAAACAACAAATGCTGGGCATGATGTACAGTACAAACAACATTAAATTTACACTAAGCTAAGCAGAGAATTGAAGGAAATAATTTGAAATACTTATATTATTTGATATATAATTTGTAATAACAAAATTTTTCAATTCTATACGCATGCAAGTAATACGATTTTTTTGTTGTTAATGAACAGGAATATGGGCGGATGATAGTGATGAAGATGAATTGTCTGCCAGACCATCTTTTAAGACTTTTAACAAGGGCCCTAAGAATTATACAGCACCAGTTAGTTTTGTCGCTGGTGGTATCCAACAAGCAGGAAAACCAAAGGAAAAGCAAGATAAGGATGACGAAGAAGACGACGACGAAGAGACGCGGGATTCTCAAACAAAGAACAGTAGTTCGAGGTAAGGTTGAACATTTAAATATTTTCTGAATGTTTCTTTTTTTCCTTTGATATTTATTAAAGTAAATTTCTATATATGTATATTTGATTTCTTTTATGTAGTTCGGATGATGAAAAGCCAAATAATTCAAAATCACGCCCATCCTTTGCCTTGAATTTGGACAGCGACATCGCAGGTCTGCGTAAAAAGCGCAATCAAGTAAATCCAGTATTGATGAAGAGCGGAATGGGGAGTTGGGAAGTGCATACAAAGGGTATAGGCGCTAAATTATTGCTACAGGTATTTTATAAAGCATTGTTATTTATAAATTATAGCAAAGTTGAGATAAAGTAAGATGGCAAATTAATAGAATACGTATTCTTTATTTAGATGGGATTTGAACCTGGTAAAGGTTTAGGTAAACAATTGCAAGGAATAAGTGCACCGGTGGAGGCACATCTCAGAAAAGGCAGAGGTGCGATTGGTGCGTACGGTCCAGAAAAAACGCCAAAGATTCCCGAGAAAAAGAAAGATGACGATGGGGAAGAAAAGGATTCTAAAACCAAGGTATCTCAATGGCGAAAGGGTGATAGCACCAAGAAAAAGATCAGATATTGTTATAGAAGTGTCGATCAAGTTTTGGAAGATGGAAAGCTGAAGCCTAATAGAAAACTTCCTGTGTCGAATGATATGAGTAAAGTTAAAGTCATCGATATGACAGGACCAGAGCAAAGAATTCTCAGTGGCTATCATGCAATAGCAGGCGGTCAGCAGTGTCCTGACGAGAACATAATTACGTCTGATAAAAAGTCTAGAGTGAACTTTGCCCTGCCCGAATTGCAACACAATTTAAATTTGCTCGTAGATATGTGCGAGCAGGATATTATACAAAATGATCGGCGGATGAGGCACTTAAGTGATAGAATGGTCGCTTTAGAAGCGGAAAAAAAGACTTTATCCAAAGTTGTCGACCAACATGGACAACTGATTGATACCTTGGATAATGTGCTCGTAATAATCGACAGATTGATGAATGAAACGAACGAATTGTCGCTACAGGAAACTGCCGAGGCTTTCAAGAATTTGCAAGATAATTATTACGAGGAGTACAAAATGTACGAACTTGGTCAATTAGCTAGCAGTTTTGTAGCACCGAAAATAAAGGATTGCTTGCTTAATTGGAATCCATTGATGCAACCAAAACAGCCGATTAAATTATTCGAACAGTGGAAGAGTATTCTGGAGAATGGAGCTACAACGCTCCAGACACAGACTATGCATTCGTACGATCAACTAGTGTGGAATGCGTGGATGCCATCAATTAGAGGAGCCATACAGTAAGTAATTTCTATAATAGATGTCAGTAAAATTGAAACAGAATTGATGATAATTTAAAGAAATAAAAAGAATCGAAGGATATAAGAAAATGTTTACATTTTTATTAATACTTTGTAATTCTATTAGTACATATGGTTTTTTTTTAATTATCGTATATTTTTAAGTATATGTATATAGGTTTTTAAACATATTTTTAATATCTTTTATTCATAAATTAGACAATGGACATGTAGGCAGCCTGAACCTCTAATTGAATTAATAGACTGTTGGATGCCGTTATTACCCAGTTGGATTTTGGAAAATATATTAGACTTATTAGTGTTACCAAAATTAACATTGGAGGTAGAGGAGTGGAATCCTTTAACTGATACTGTACCTATTCACACATGGATTCATCCTTGGCTGCACTTGTTACGTGAGTACATATACTCATCTTTTTACATTACGTTCACATATTTGATGCATATTTATGCAGCTGAATTACCGTTGTAATAATAACTGTGTTTTTTTATGTCATTTAGGAAATCGTTTAGATACCTTGATTTATCCAATAATACGTAGGAAACTTGGATCTGCGTTAGGAGGTTGGCATCCATCAGATAGATCCGCTAGACTAATGCTGCAACCTTGGGCAGAAGTGTTTGCCAAAGGAGATATGGAAGCGTTTTTAGTCAAAAACATTATTCCAAAATTGCAAAGAGCCTTGTCTGATTTTGTGATAAATCCACATCAACAGCACATAGAACAGTGGAATTGGGTGTACGAGTGGAAGGAATTAATCCCTGTCCACATCATGGCAGGATTACTTGACAAATTCTTTTTCCCAAAATGGTTGCAAGTTTTGGCACTTTGGCTCAATCATTCGCCTAATTATGATCAAGTCACAACTTGGTACATGAATTGGAAAGGGATGCTAAATGACAAATTACTAGCGGAAACAGTAATAAAAGGTACGTTATATAAATTAATAAATTTACATCTTTTTCTTTCTCACAGTTGACGGTTATTAAAATAAGAAATAAATACAATTTACAGAGCACTTTAAAAAAGCATTGGACATGATGACTAGGGCAGTCAGTGGGCCACAAAATCATCAACCTGGCGCACTAGAACAAGTTTCATACTTGACAAGCTTAGAAAGAACTCAGCCAACAATATCGCAGATGGCACCGATTGCGCAGCCAAGAATGGAGGTAAATATTCATTTTAATTGCTTTGTTAAATAATGACTCAAGTAATATGCTTACTGTGTGTGTCATTGTCTATATATAATATTAATACTATAATGTTTTCTTACAGAGATTAGCAGAGGCAGTACGAACAGCCTCGCAAATTCCGCAGGGTTTCAAAGATTTCGTACAAAAGAAATGCGAAGAGAGAGGTATATTATTTATGCCGATCCCGAATAGATACAAGGAGGCTAAGCAAGTGTACAAAGTAGGCAATGTTCAGGCATACATCGACAGCAATGTCTTATTTGTATGTCACAATGGTACAAATTGGATGCCAACACATTTAAATGCCATGCTAGATATGGCTGAACTTTAATAATGTGTGTCGTAATACATATATGTATATATAATTAGATATTTCTCCTACACGTTATCAGAAAAGTTGATTAATTATCGTACTACTTTATCGAATTTTACTGTATTTGTGATATATGTTAAAATTTAAGTATGCTGAATGGAACATTACTTTTGCATTATTGAAGCTGTATAATATAAATCAATACGATATCTTAACACGTGTACATTTTTGTTGTTTCCTAGAAGCACTTAAATTATAATGTATACGCTCGTTTCGATAGTTAATTACATCAACTAATTCTTATTTATATATACATTTATATAAGTAATGGTAACCAACGAGAAAACGGAAGAAATTTCGACCCGCGACACCGACGGACAATTTGTTATCTTTGGCACAGCTAAAATGATCGGTAATGTTATCATTCTTTAATTACCTCCGGGCCTACTTGACGGTCACGAAAATTTGCTTTTTGAAACTTTGTCTTCGACGAGGCGCGACACTGCTCGCCTCGAAAAATGTACTTTATATTAACAATTCTATGTTCTTTAATATAGTACAGAGAAAATTTTCAAACGTTTACTGTAACCTTCTCGCTCAACATGCTTCTCGGGCATTGGCGTGACTTTTCGAGTTTTCAAGAAAACGTGCCTATATACCATCAGTTCCCTATCTGTCACGTATCTACGCCTTCTTGTTAAATATACATTCTTAATAATCCTGAACAGTTTTTTGATAATTATTGAAGTCTTAATTTTTCTAACTTTGCTATAATTGTATTCTCTTATCGAAAAAAGTTTTTAACAACTTTTCAATAATTTTTTGGAGCATCTTAAATAACACAGATTTCAGTCCTCGTTATTTATCGTTTAATTATGTTCTAATATTGTAATTCAATTTTAATTATATTTTTTATATTTGTAAAATATTAAATATTTAATAATTGTTGAGCAGCAAACTTTACGTGGTAATAATTAAGGGCGATAGCTATATTTATATTTCATTTTCCGAAATACATTTAGGTTTTTCCGGAATTTGATTCAGTTTGATTATTTTTGCGTTATAACCATTATTTCTCTATTATTCCTATAAGAAAATTGAACCTAATTTGATTAATTGATTCATTATTTAACAAAGTATTTAATGTAAATTTAAAAATGTTTATCATACGCATACATATTTAATTCTTAATTTTCCAATCAATAGGAATTTAATTAAGAACCAATTGCAAAATTAATTAGAAAATACAAAATATTTATATAAACAAATATAATATAATTCGATCTCTTGTATTAATTTCATTTATTTTTTATGCTATTAAAATTAGTTCAATTTTTAATTATTTTTATAATACATAATTGATACGTATTTATACTTTGTAGACACACAAGAATAAAACAATCATGTAATTGTAATCGTTATGCGAAACAGAATCAAAGACCGTGAACCATATGTTATCTGCTGAAAATATCCATGCTACGTAGTTTAATGTGTGCGTTTTTCCGTGTAAAGGCGGTGGTGGACAGATTCCATCTAAAACGCGGGCACGTCCACAGCATCCACTATTCCACTCTCAGGCTTCGTGAGCGCACAGACACTACTCTCAGCAACTTTAGAGGAATCCTGTAAAAAAAGGACGGACGTCTTTCTCGCCTACACGCCTAGCAGAGACCCGTCCGATGTCGAGAGCGCATTTGCATTGGATCGGATCGTGTCTCTCTGGCTAGTAGCGTGAGGCTGCAACGCATCCAGACGGTTCTTGCACTTTGCAAACCTACGAATGCTTGCCGAGAACGTCGCACGTTAATACGTCAAAAAAACAAGAATATGTTACATAAATACACGATATGTGTATTTTTTAGAAAATAATTTTTGTTATGTATAAAATAGTATCTATTTTATAATTTTTCTTACATCAAATTTTAAATATTTTTTTCAAAAAGTAAAATGTATAGATATATTTCAATATTGTATTTCAAAGTTATAACTACTATTGGCTCTAATTCTATGTATGTACATCTTTTAATTATTAACTATTTATCTAACATTGATAATTACCTGATAAAGGTCGAAACATTCGATATTAGTTATTATCAATTACTTATTGTTATATTTATGAAGCATTAAGCATCCTGCGTTGGCTCGTAGTCTTTAATTTATTAATTGATTTTTATTATCTTTTTAAAAATATTACGTTATTTTATACATAAAATTTCAATGTATGATATTTTTATAACATCTTATATAATGTTCATACATATTAATCTTTCCATATTAAGTTTAAATGCGATTCTAAAAAAGATGCATGCAATGCATCGCGAGTTGCCTACGCGTTCGACAAAAGCGTGCAACGAGGTGAATGTCGCGGCAAATTAAAGCACATTAGCGATGCACGAGTACGCGAGAATTGCAACTTTTTCAACGCATCGTAAATCGTGGGCGTAATTAAGAAGGATTCGCAATAATGTTTGTTCATTTTTTCAAATATTGCAAATATTCCATTGTAATGTAAAACAGTAGTGTAAAAGAAAAAATTATGATATTATTTGCCTGTTTTTCGTAGTTATAAATTCTTTAAAGAAAATTTCTCATGTAACAGAGACTTCTATGTATTTATGCGACGCAATAACGTAGTCATAATTTCTTTAAATAGACCGTGGTTGCACCGGTTTTATCCTTCGCATTAATGGCGCTCGACAACTTGTTTGAGATTTTTAAGCGACTTTAACCGACGGGACGCGATTCATTTAATTATCATGACAGATAATCGCCGTTCTACACGGTACACTCGTGCCAAGTAGCAAGTGATTCGGGCTGTATCGCGATTGTAATTCCGGCGCAGCGATTGAATTCTTTTTCGCAATATCGCTTTTTTTAAAAATCGAGATATTAGGAAAGATACTTATGCACATATATGAGTCGGAAAAATCTATAAAATCGTGAATCGCGTAAATTATTCTCAGGAGATCGATGTTTTGAAGGAGTTACGATATACACACACATACTCGCATTTTAGTATAAAACGCGATCGAGCTGCGTGACATTCCAATCCCACGCAAATCGCTATTTATCTCTAAGTCTGCACATAAAACGTTAAATATTCGCGAGAACGCCAAACACGGCAATAGCTTTGATATTTTAACGGATATGGAAGACTTTTTAAAAATAAAATAAAAATATATACATATTTAATATTTTATATTGTACAATAGTTACTTTCCGATATGTTTTTATATCAAACTGTTACAATTTTCAGTCATGAACTCAGAGAATTGCAATAATCATTACTTATTAAATTTTATATATGAAACTTTATTCTGATTTTTATTACAATAATCGTGTAAAAGAAGTTTTTTTTCTGACGGAGTAAAATATTTTAATTTTCAATATTTAGACTTGTTCATTAAATTATCTTGTCAGTGTAATTGGTTGAAAAACGAAGATTATACTTTCACGATATATATTATATGTATTCGAGCCGTCGAGGTATTTAGGCGTCGGTATTAGTTCAGTCTGCGGCACACTTGCACAATTTACAATCTCCGTATCCCTCGAGCGGTGCAAAATGACCGATTAGGTTTGCGCAAGCATCGAATAAATTCGACGTGTGATTTACAGGATTAGGTATTCCAGGGAATACAAGGCCTATGACTTAACCCATTACTGGTGGTATGGAACGTGGGCGTCAAATGGAGATTCGAGGCGCGAGACGTTTACATTTACGCATTGTGGGGAGATACAAAAGAATGTTAATGCGAGTGTGGTGTGGTACCGCTATATACGCGCTATTTATAAATGATCGGCCTCGTGACAGGTATGTATAATTTTTAAACGCGGCTGTTATTTTTACTTGCTTGTTCTTGATGTCGATCGAACTTTATTTTTTCACGGAAAACCTGGTTACCTTATTACTCGATTTATTTATTTATATGCTTACGTTAAAGGAAACGAATACGATTCCGGTAACTTTGGTATATACGGCGATATAATGAGGCGTTTTTGACTATTTCTTTTGCAGTAAAAAGCATCGCTAAAAATTTTAGCTCGGTAATTTTTTTAAATTGTTTTCGAATTATAAATATATATCTAAAAATAATGAATAGAAAATTTCAATTTTTAGAAGAAGAAATCTAACGAAATTAAAAGTTAAAACTGAGTTAAAAATAAATTAAATTAGAATTGAACAGAAATTTTAATATAATAATTCCTATTTATTAATTATAAATTGAACGCCTAACTGAATGTTTAATTTTAATCAACAATTAAATAATATTTTGTTATCCCGAATCGTTATCGCTACAGAAAGTAATACATGCGTATCTTCGTCTACATTTCAATCTTTCATGAGCATTACTTTTATTCGTCTGTTTTAATGGAATTGAACCACGCGTTCATTGCAGGAGATGGATCTCCAAAGTGACATGAAAAGAATTTACATCATCCATTTATTTCACAAGTTAAATTATTTTGTTCTGCCCTTTTATATAGTTAATAAGAAAATTAGTTGGATTTAAAATACATTTTTAAATCGAGAAGTACACATCTATTTGATAAAAAAGGAGAAATTATGACGCATAAAACATATATTTTGTAGACATAAAAGACATCATGAAAAGACATGGAAACTATTTTTCTATTGTAAGACGGTCTCTCGCAGACCAAACGTCACTGCTGGCGGGTTAACATGAGGCTATGTACAAAAGAATCCAACATTATTATCCCCGTTCGCCATACTCATGGAAGAAAGGGGATACGTTATATCTCCGTTTGCGCTCCGGCAGGAAATCTAATGCGGCTGAAACGCAATGCACGCGTGCACACGGTATGGCCAGGCCCATTTCCACTACCACGCGACTGTTGCGTATCTCGGTCCTCTTTTCGCATTATCCGGAGGGCCTCCCATGTCGCAAATGCAGCTATAATACATGGGACTGTATCGCGCTGCTGCACGGGCACGTGCTTACGCATGAGCCGTTTGAAACGAGTCGTGATTTTTGTATTTATGACGAATGTATATTATATGCAAACTGTATCGTATCGCGCGAGGGTAAAAAAAATTTAATAATAGATTATCATAAATGTTATATAGTTTATAGATGAAAATAAATATCATTAATATATATCTTAAAAAAGAAACTGTGCAGCAGTATTAATTATTTCTGTAAAGAAACAGTTTTTGTTTTACATGCGCTCGCGTACACGTATTTGTATACGCATTACATATAGTTGATGTTTGAGAAAAGCAATCTTTAGTGAAATTTTTCTTTTCGACACTTATAGCCTTTTTTATGTCAAGTTCTTACAAATACATTTTCGTCGCTTTCTCTCGATCCTCTTAAGCGTGTCAAATCTTCGAATGAACGAGTGAAACGGGCTCTTCGCCCACGCACCACCGTTCTAAACCGACATGCCGCCCCAGGCGCGTCGTTCGCGACCGTACTTCTTCTCCTTGCGATGCACCGTACGAGAAGGATCCGCGATCCCGTCCACAGCCGGCGGTCACTTCAATCGCTTTGCGAGACTTTTTTGCGAGAGCCATGACTCGAGAGGAAAAAGCGCGGCGAGACGAGAAAGGATGCAAAAGGAGCACCCGGTGTACTGGAGCGCGCAACAGGTGTGACTCGGATACCTTGCACTTATGCGCGAATAATCTGACTCGCTCGCGCTGTCTGCAGATAAATGTATATGCCTGTGTTAAAGATGTAAAAAAAAACGTTTTTTTTCTAATTCCGATAGCACAACTAATTCAACATATTGGCTTTCTCGTTCTGTGTAAAGGTTAAAATAATGATAATTTAAATCTACTATCTATAAAATAAAAATCATGAAAAATTAACTTATATTAAGCAAAATATAGATATTAAATAGATAGCTAAAAAAACACAAAATTTTGAGAAAAAACTTATGTTTTTTTTCTTTAAAAAAAAACGTATTTTTTATATCACATTGCGATTGACCATGCGTTGCAATTGACCACGTTGCAATTGCCCACGCGTTGCAATTGGCCACGTGTTGCAATTGACCACATTACGAT